GTTCAGCTCCAGCTCCCAGATGGGGATTTCCATGACTTTCTTTTTTACATCCCAGTACACCGGGATCCGTGCTACGCATCCATCTCGCACGCTCTGCGGGGTCAGCTCCTCGATGCGGTGGACCTCCACGGCCTCATGCGCGTGGAGAATATGCATGCCCTGGAGCGCCCGCTGGAAGAGCTTGTATTGAGCCTCGTCTCTGCGGTACTGGTGGAGGGAGACGAAGTCCAGGAAGATCCACACTAAGGAGTCGAGCTGTCGGGGGCGATATGCGTCCACGATGTTGTCAAGCTCAAACCTGTCTGCGCTGCAACCGACAACAACAGAGGTGGGGCTTGCTGCAGGACATTGCAGGTCTTAAGGAGGAGCCATGTTAATCTGACTCACCGAACCCGAAGCCCGAGCCTCCAAGGGTCCGGATGTTGCATGCTCTCCCAGACATGGCTCACCGAGACGATGCGGACGGTGACCTGCCTCGGCGCTGGGTTCCTGACCATCATGGACATGTGGGCCGTCTCTTCGTTGATCATCACTTCCTTGAGCTCGTCGACGCCAACCAGGGCCGGCTTATCCGACGCCGTCCTCTCCGCCTCGGCCTCTTGGCGCCGAGGAAGGACCCTCCCGGACTCGCGGAGCTCAATGAGGTACTCCAGGCGGACCAGGCGAACATCCGCGTCTGAGAGGAAGGAGATCAGGCTCCGCGGCTCCACCAAGCCGTAGCTTTCTGAATCACTTATTTCGAAGCCTTGTGCATCCTCCTGAGCAGCGCTCATGGCTGAACGTGTCCCCTTGAAGCCTTTGGAGGTGCGCTGATGCTGCTAGCTCCGCGGTGATCCCAAATGCTCAATTGCTGGTTGGTTGCACAAACAAACAGGTTCTAAAACCTGGCTGCAGCAAAGCAGGAGGCAGCAACATGGTCAAACATACTTACATCAGCATTAATATCCCTTGAGCCCTGATTCTAAACTCTGCGAAGCTACACCCAAACCCCAAACCCTAAGCTCAATTGGCATCCCAATCGGCACTGTACTACCTTCGGTGCAAGGAGCCCCCTAGTCGTCGACCCGTACTCCCTGCATCCCCAAGCCCCAAACCCCTAAACAATTGGCAGACAATTGTCGAGTGCAAGAGTCCCTGCGTGAGTCTTTGAATGTTGCGAATCTCCAGAGTGTGCGCGAATTGATTGCTGTTGACCAGTGCCTATGCCTCCCAACGGAGGAAGCGAGGGTGAAGGCGAGGAGGCTGAGAAGTGAGTTCCTGGAGAAGGCCCTATTGCAGTCGAACAGAACAGCCTTGCGCGCTGGCCAAAAGGTTCTTGCTTTTGTATTGCATTGCGCTGTTGATCCTTGCACCTGTAGGCCCTATCGCAGTCGAACAGAACAGCCTTGCGCACTGGCCAAAGGTTCTTGCTTTTGTATCCTGCCGAGTTGCTTGCTTGCTTTGCAGTTGTGGCATGCCTGTCATCGAGCCTCGCGACCGCCGCTGGCTAGAAGAAAGGGTAAGGTAACAAATCATGGCAATTCCCATCGGTCCCAACGGCGCAATTCGTCTGCCCGACGCCTTCCCTGAAGGCGGGCTGCTGGGCGAAGAGGAGGCCCCTGTGGCGGCTGCTGCAAGGGCACGCACCATACGGAGGAGCGATCATGGCTTCGAGCGAGTCATCATGGTCGAGCGAGCTCCCGGCGTTGAGGGCTACCTCAACATTTCGTCGCTGTGGGTCGTGCAAGAGCCGATGATGGACCTCTTGCGGCAAAACCTGGCGTTCAAGTTGAAGGCAGTTCTCCATCTGCAGCTGGTCCAAGACCTGCTCGACGCGGACACTGGAGATGTGACTCCGGAGTACTCGGAGAGGCGTGTGTCCTTGGTCATGTGGTCCGTTCGGCCGAACTCCGACCCCGACGAGCGCTTCCGGCGCTATGTCCTGCAGGTGATTCGGAACAAGCTCGACGACCACATGGAGCACGCCCGTTGAAACAACTCCCTCCAACGACTCGTCGGCATCATCGACTTCGTGCTCTTTCTCGGGGCAGGACCTCTGATGGTCGCACTGAACGCGCCCGCAGCCCCCTTGGAAGAGGGCGGCTGCTACAAGGAGCTGCCCCTCCATTTCAGGCGCGGGGACATTGGCGTTTGGACGCCGAAGAACCTGGA